AACGCCGATAGCGCGACACTTATGCCATTTTCTCACGCAGATTTCCCCAGTTCACACGAACGAGTGAATGGTTTCCTATACCCACGCCACCAGACGTCACCCTTGCGTCATGTCCATTAATAAGACCATGCAAATAATTTATAACCCAAAAGACCACTACAACAAGTCTCTCATACAATCCAGTGACAAATGACGGAGCTCTGAGCGTTGCTATGACAACAATTTGCATTCACCACAACGAGATCGTAGGATTTGTATCAACTGTCCGTGCAATGTTGAAACAGTAAATAGCATAAATCAATGCCTAACTGTAAATTCTTCGAAACTGAAAATGAATATCAATGAAATGACTCTTTCGTACATCACTTGGATCGTGAAGTCTCTGCACGGAGAGGACATCCGGTCTTCAAACGTGTGTACAGACACACGCGACGAAAATATTCTCCGCAGACAGATTAGAGTTACAGGAACTCGCTATTTCATCTTCCAGGCGCTACAACCTGGTTCGACCACTGAATTTGTAAAGTTTTTATTTAAGGCAGGTTCGGATTATCGGAAAGTCTTACTTGCAATCATCTTATCGTTCCCTCAGAATCGTAAGTACAGGATAATTCAAACACTGTGATACCATTCCAAAAGACTTCGAGTAAAACAGAAGAGATAAAGACTCTAGAAACCAACAAAATATTATTAACTTCCCAACGTATCGATTATTTGCTTAATAAAACTACGTATGGGAAATAATAAGAGTAAATGCACATAATAAAATTTAAAAGAGGACCACCTAAAAATTAAAAAGATATCTATAAAACGGAACACCCATACGTATTCACACTTTGAAGTCAGAAACTCATCTAAATAATTTAACAAAAAGGTCACTTCCTGCCCCAATAAAAACACAATGCAAAAACAAATTCAGTCCTTACCGCAAAGAAAACGCCACACATCAACATTACGAAGATCACGTCGTTCAATGAAATAATCCCTGTTTATAGCAAGTATCATACGAAGTCCACAAATACAAAATGAAGAGTTACATTAAAATTAGAAGGTACATATAATTACCAGGGGGCTATAAAGATTTAAGACACTTCCAGAGGCTGTACGTACTTTATACAGAAAGGCGGGTGAAGAAATATCTTGTTAAGAAAAACGTTATCGGAAATCGAACAAGTTATCCACGGACAGAGACTCAGAAACGTCCGTAACAACCTACAAGACGTCACAATCCAGGGGATCACAAACGGCATGGATATGAAACATTTATTACGTATTTCCCAATCATAATTTACAGACCATTTGGAAGACGTGGCTGTCGATGGGAGGAAATTATCAGAACGGGTCTTATTCTGTGCGGGCGTGAAACTTAAAACGGATCTAGGGGAAACAAGGCACTGAACCTTCCATTTCCGCAAAAGCATAAATTTTTTTACCATCTCATTAACCATTCTACTAATTACCAATGATGTACAAAATCAGTTACTATGGTAAAAAAGACATTTTCTTTCCCTGGTACTTATTAGCTCCGGAACAATTACTAAAGCACCTATTTTGGATGGTTTGTAACAGATAAAATATATTTTTATTTAAAAGAAAAAAATACTTTCTCGGCTGACACTTGACATAGTAACTTGGGCTTTTCCCCAAGTCAGCAGTAGTACCAGCATTCAAATTCACCAACGTCCGAGTTATTTAGTCGTAATAGCGGAATAAACCTTACCTGAGCAAGATTGTGAGATCAATATCATCACTGAGGCGATCCAGGGCCGCAGTTCCGTCAACCCTGACGGCGTTGATCTTGTCCCTGAGTCCCTGTGACGTCCCGACCATCGCGTGCCTTTCCTTTAGGATGTCCAATATGTTAGGCTGACGAAGGAACGCGACCACCTTCTCATTGTACGCTGTGGGGATTTCTGGAGGGGCCAACACACGAGGAACAGGGGCACCACCTGAGCCTGAGCCCATGCTCGAATTGCACCCGCAGGTTATCGTGAGACGTGGTGGGGGAACAGGTGCCTGCAAGCAAGAGTGTTACAAAATAAGGTCTCCTCCTGTCGGACAAAAAATTAGAACAGCAATAAACTATCTCCCCCACACAAACAAAGTTTTGCTAATTCCAATTAGCAGATTTAAGGTCTCCCTTGTTTCACCATGTACGTTTGTTTTTATAGAAGATTTGTTTTGGCCTTCTAAAATTTAAAAAGAATGAAAAAACAAACGAAGACATAACCTAATATTTACATAAATAAACAGGCTGCTAAAGCTTTTACAGACGTTCGAGACTACACTGAAAACTATGAACTCAATGCCATCTTGTCCTAACTGGCTTTATCGTCAACCTACCTTCCACAATGAACAAGGCCAGAGTCTGAGGCAAAACTCTTACCTCCGACTCCAAGACATTACTATATATATATATATGGGACCTTACACCTAAGTTACCGTGCACACTGAAGATGTTATCGCTAGCTACAGCAGAAGATGTTACTTCAAAAAAGTTTGATCTGTTATGAAGTTAAAAGAACAGCTCACAGTAGAATCGAGACAACAAAATGAGAATTTTTATGATTATCACCTACAAATACTTACGGAATCTATTAGCAGAAAGAGAGTAAAGAGAGAGGAAAAAGTAGACGGGTAAGTGTGAAGGTAGAAATACAATTGATAGACATTGTCTGCTTTCTGAGCAATCTATAAATATTCAATTCTT